ATTCACCAGAAAGGATGCTAATGGCCTGTTTGGTGCATCTACACAGATCAGGACCTTCTCTTAGACTCTGCTTGAAAACAAACCTCCTGTCATCAGAACTCAACGTTATGAAACCAACCTCTAAACAAAAGGAATAAAGCTGAAGAGCAAAAACATTGACAACCCTTAGGTTTTCTGGAACATCTGAGATTTTTAGAAGGGTTTTCTCTAAACAGAACATCCAGATGTATTTCTGACCTAAATAAAACTCCTAAACTGAGTGACGGGGTGTGTGTTGTTCATTGATGCTAGGAATGTCTAGAAGTCCTTTTTGCATTTGCTGAACAACCTCTGCAAAGATGCATGGCTCACCACAGGTAAACAGGATTCAGCTACAGTATAAACCTAAAGGAAAGTCTTTGAGGACTGAAATGTTCATATTCTGAACAGATAAGAGAAGTTAGTTTTTAAAGCAGTTCACACCTTCTTCCATGTGACCAAATATTTGGTGAACCATGATACCAACAGCAATGTCAATGTCTGATCGTTAGGGGAGACAAATCTTCTCCTCTAAGCAACAAAAACTAAAGTCAAGTTGTATGTTTTAAAGGTTTTTGAAGGTAAAATAGGTTAAATGAAGCCTTTTTGAAAATGTTCTTCCCTCTCCAATAGCATATTTTGAAATTGCTGCAGTTAAGCTTTGTGGAATGGGATTTTTATGACGGAGCTGAGATCTGATGATCCAAAATCTACCATCTCACTGAACTACACACATTTAGCTGATGATCTATAGCACTTACATAAAAAAGTTGGAGTTTTCAAAACTGAGGCAATGATTAAGGTTGAAAGTTGTGGGGATTTATAGAGGTACGTTTTTTATAACGGTGCGAAACAGACAAAAATAAAATCACTTGTCAAGGGTGTTCATTATTTTAGAGCAAACATCAGGTTCTGGGTGAAGTGTGGTGCCAAAGTTGGCCACTGATGGTATCATATCTTTACAGCACTGGTTTGCAGTCCTTTTGTGGGTGGCCTAATGGGCCATAATGGTCTGTTCAATCACGAGGATTTTCTCACCCCTCCAAGCTCTGAAAGCACTTAGAAGAAACGACTAAATGGCTTGCAGGCTGCGATAACGGGACAAAACTCCATCGGCCTTATCAAGTGTGGGTCGGTTAACTGGTCATCCTCAATCCCACAAACACACGCCTCACTCAGAGAGAGATATAGTCCTCCTATGACCAGTCCAAAGGTTAAAAATTATCATAGCTGTGATTCATTCAGCCAAAATTAAGCATGGCTGTCAGTGCAAAGATGACGTTGTCAAGTCAGAATAAATGCAGGAGGGAGATGGTTTCACCTTGAAGACCCCAATGGGGGAATAGAGTCTTTGGTATTTCATTGTTATGCTGTCAGGACTGCGGACCCCTGGACTCTATTCATGTAACCCCGGCCTTCTGAGATGAACTCATCACATCAACAAGGATGATGGTTTCTTTGGTCAGTGACACAGGGTGACAGAATGCTGTCTAAATCTGTCTGCTGCTCATGCCAGCATGCAGACAATTCAATCTGTTCTGTTTTAAATAAATACTTGGTCTGTATTTCTTTATGTTTTTGTTTTTGATATTTGGTCTGAAAACAGCAGTTAATAATTTTCTTTCTACTTCCCAATCATGTACATATTTGGATTGTTTTACTTTTTAGGTGACATATATTTGTCGTTAAACATCTGCACAGTTTGGTTTGTTGTGATTGGAGTCCTACTTTACAGGTCGTGACTGCTCTAGGCCAAATTTACCTGGGCCACCATGGTGGGGCCAGTGTTTTTTGTCATGGGGGTACAAAACAAAAGATTTAAGCAAATAAACAGCTTCATACCTATTTTGCAGCCAACTGAAAGCTGTTAGTGTGCAAAATAATAAATGCCAAAACAACTTATCATCTGCATGATGTTAATGCAACTCATTTGTCAAACCACACACATAGAAAGATAAGTGATGATTAGTTTTCAATATTTTCAGATGCTTAGACCCTTGAAAGAATTATTCAATTTATGAATAAATAACACCCACCTTATATTCAACATTGAACCTCTAGATATATTTAAAATTCCAATAACAAGAAAGTTTTCCAAATTTTTTGACACTAGATCATTTGGCTAGTAACGAGTTACTTTCACTGAGCAGCACTGAGTTACTAACTCAGTTACTTTTTGGAGAAGTAACTAGTTACTTTTCTAATACACCTTTCCCGCTGGCTAAAAAACTTCTTTAAACCCAGAAAGAAGCGGCTTGATGCATGTCTACCCGAGTCAAACGACTAGGCAAGCGACCCGTGCTAAAATTGCCTCGGCTCTGATCGGCATACTGTGGGAACACCAGACCCAGGTTGACTGTAGGAACTGGAGAAAGAGTTTTTTTTTAATTCTCTGTAAAGTAAAATTTTTTGTACAAAAGTTTTTGAGCTGACGCGTTAAAATATAGACAGCTGAAAATATAACAAAAAATACAGCATATAAGTGATACATTTCCTTTGCCTTTTCTTTCTTTTTTTTTTTTTTTTTTTTAGCTAAAGCTTAATTTTTCTTAATGATTTAATGAAATAAATAAAGGATGTAGTAAGCATTAGTATCACTAGCACAGATGCCTGAATAGAACAAAAACAGAAATAACTAGTAATGAAGATGCGAGCCACTTCTTGTCTAGAGAATGGGAGGCATCAGTCATTAGACAAATAAAAAAAATACAAAGTACTATTTACCCCTCTGGCTGGATTAAGGAGATGGTCAGCAGAAATGTAAAAACTCATATGGTTTCAAGCTGTTACGCCTGACATCCCTAAAGCCTGAGCATGTCACATTTGGGTCTTTCAACCAGCACCGTGGTTCTATAGAGGATGACCTCTTCCTTCACCTCTGTGAGGGCAAACACTGGCCACATGGTGACTAGCTCACTGGATTTTTAAACATTTCTGGGACAGAAGGGAGGGGAGGAGCATGAGAACATTACTCAATAAAGACACATGGGAGAACGTCTTAATTACCCAACTTAGACATAAAAAAAGATGTGGCACTTCTTTGGCATGTTTAAGGAAAGAGCAACATCTTAATAAGTCATTGGTCAACTCTGAAGATCCCACTTTAAATCATGGCAATAGGCCAGTAAAATGGCTTTAATGTCAAAAGAGCTAAAGGAAAATGTTAAAAATTACAATAAAACGCATGGTTTGTGTTATTTAATAGTTTAACATTTTATTTAATTTGTATTTTTTGATTTCAGTTTTTATGAATTGCATTCCTCTTAAATGCCGTTTTATAGGTCACATTCTCTAAACTACAAGCGCAGTACACCTGCTCGTTCTTGTCCACATTGACCAATAGAAAGGCATTGTCACTCATTAAGGAACCCGGCCACTAGGAGTGTGAAGAATGTGATCTGTAAAACTTAATTTGAAAAACCTTTGAACATTTTTTTTGAACAGCAAATTTAAACCTTTTTTTTTTTTAAATAAATTTTTTTTCAAAAACTCATTTCTGGATTTTATTTCCTTCAGATTGACATTTACAAAAAGCTTTCTTTTTTTGTGCCAAATTTCCATTTACAAAATATGTTCTTTGCTTGCAACAATAATGGAACAAAGTTCATTTCATTTAGATTGAAGCATAAATTTTACCATCAGTTTCCCTGCTGTAGCAGGACAGCTATCGCAGGGCTTTAACCCAGTATATATAAAAAAAGGCCCATAATGCAAATTGCTTTTGCACAAAACTTATAAATATGTTCATCATTCTTTCTTGCAGGAAAGCTATTATACATGGAAACTATCAAACAAACAGTGACAACAAACAGCTTGGTTTGTTGTTATCATATAATATAGTAATTTTCCACACTAGTGTGTTTGGAATTTTTCCCAAGACGAGCCTTCTTTGGGGGGGCTTCTTGGAGAAGCTGAGGATTGGATGAACAGGTGGAACCAACATGTACATACTCTGAACAGTCACTGGGGGATTAATCCGCTGCTAACAACGTGGGACCAACCTTATCATCGGCAAATCATCATGTATACTACATACGCTAAAAGCTGCTGTCGGGGAGCCACTTCAGTCAAAGTTAGAATGTCCTGAGGGCTGCAGACAGGTGTTTGTGAATCTGTGTGTGTGAGAGATAGATGCATAGATAGAGACACAGAGAGTGGGGACAGAGCGAGGGAGACAACTGCTGTTGGTCTGCTGGGAGCAGATGTTGGAGATCTCAGTAAACTGTTAATAGCTGCAGGATCTCGTTACATTTAACTCTTTAAAGGCCAAAGTTCCACTTGTGGAAAATATGTGCTTCAGTACCTCGCTTCCTGAGTAAGACATGTTTACCCAGCTGACATTGGGAGACACAGCTCTTCCAAAACACAGTGATCACTTAGTGCCAGCTGCTTTTGAGATATAAAAAAACAAAAATAACTCAACTTTTCAAAACCAAATCAAAACCTGATTTAGAATATGTGTGTGTAGAGGTGGACCTAGGCCCGGTACAGTACTGTTCTACACAGGAGCCCAGCTTGAGCTGAATGTGATTACCAAACCGAACCCAGCTTCACTGTCAACGCTGAACTATCATGCAAGCATGCTTGGTTCCCGCGCTATTTTCGGAAGTGCATTTTGACCCCCGCTGAATTTATTTTTGTCGTTTGTGGGTAGAGAATGACTCTGTGGCGTCTTTCCCAACCTTTATTCACCGTGAGAAGATTCACTGGGCACAGCTTTCTTTCAGCACTCACTCTTCACACTACTTCAGTTACGGAAATTGACGTAGAGGAGAATCGTAGCAATTCCCTACACACAGATAGACCGCAGCTTTACTGCCTTCCCAAGGGATTAAAATGCCTTGCTAAGGGACACTCAGGCAGCACCTTGAGAAGGCAGATTATGACCTCCACCTGGCAGAATTCTTCGTGTAAAGATTTGAGTCTATAAATCTCATTCCTGCTCCTCTACCCTTTAAGTGTCAACATGCTCTTCCTCTCACCTTGATGCCTCCCATTCGCTCTTCGCCCTTGAACTCTTTGCCGTTCTTAAGCCAGTGGATGGTCGGCATTGGATTTCCCTCTGCAGCACAGCGGAACTTGACAGTGTTGGCTGCAGGGACGGCCAGGAGCTTCTTGTCCATCCGGTCGGGTCTGGTCCAATATGGAGCCCCTGTGGGTCAAACATTAACTGTTTTAAAGACTTTATTAAGATAATAAGGAAAATAAAGTCATTAAAGCTTGACCTTTAACTGAAAGGGTTTTAATTGGATGCAAAACACGGACACATAATTTTCTGCTCCTGGTTTTCTTTGGTGTTCTTAGAACATTTGAGCATGTATGTGTGCATTCCCTTTGGGAATGCACACATACATGTCTCTGTAATTGCCAAAAGATGGCCCAGATGGGAAAACTTGATCTTTTGCCCAATATTCAAAGTGATGCAGTTTGGATGAGTTATGTGCTTTGCCAGAACAAATGTGAGATTCTGGATGGCGACGAGCAGTAACGTCAATGTTGTCTTCAGAGTTTGTGTTTTGTTTTTGCAACCTTGGATGCCAGTGACAAAGAATTCCTAAATCAAAAATCCTAAAAGAAAACTAGATTCTGTAAAACACCAAGGAGAGGGATGCATAATTATGATGGAATGGTTCAGTTAAAATCCAGATCTAAAGATGTCTGAGAAATCGGAAGACTTGTGAAATGCTGTTTACACTTTTACAGCCAATCTGACGGAGGTCAAATTATTTTCCATAGAAAAATAACACAATGTGTAAAAATAAAAACTGAAGTGTATTTAACCCCTTCTGGCTTATAATGGGATGTTCAGTTTATAAACAGGGTGCGGAGAAAAACACAGTTTGACAGAAATTGAAAAAGCATAAAACTATTGCCTGAAGCTCTCTGAGGCCTGGACAAAACTTATCATCTCCTTCACCTCCAAAACAATGATAGAGTTCGTCTGAATTGTGCGATCCTGGGAGTTTGGAAACCTGTCAGTGCGATTTATTGAGTTGTATTGAGAAGCCGGCGGACAAAGAAGAGCGCAGCCAGTCAGACCAGCTCTTTGTCCCATATGTGAGGGTGAGGAGGGTGAGAGCCACGGTTCGCTCACTCTCTTTATCCCCCTATGTGTGTGTGTGGGGGTGTGTGTGTGTGTTTGTGTGGACAAAAGCTGGGGAGGTGGCTGACCGGTCATCAGATGTCTCTTTTACTTTTCCAAATGCAGGAGGGGAGAGAGGAGCTAATTACCATCTAAATAGCAGGACCTCTGGCCGTGTGTGTGCTCTATCAGGCGTGGATGAGATAATAGTTAAAAAGTAATCCAACCCCTCCACACCAGGAGTAATGGTTTTACTTCAGGTGGGATGTCAATCACTGCCGAACTATGATCTCAGAGTCAGATCTGCTACATGTGCTTCTATCACTATGCCTGCGGTGTTCTGATACATTTCTGACACATATTTTTTTGGCGATTGCCTTCAAACGCTGGCATTGGCTTCACAGAGTAATTGCAACCAGACTGAGAAAGAAATTCAGTGTTGAGAGACACAGACGTGTCCTTTGAGAAAGCAAACAGAAGGATACTAACGTCTATCAGACAGACAGTAAGCTGTGTGTGTGTGGAGCACAGACTGCGATTCCTCCTCAGCTTGTGAAGACAAACACAACCACTCGCACGCCACCTCAACAATGAAGTGAAGAAACTGTTAGGCTTTGGACTTCCCTCCCCAACGTCCCCCCGCGTAGCTGTAGCGACCCGTCACTCCCTCTCAGTGTGGGACAAGCCTCTGAGGAGTCTGAACACATTGTTTTCTTGGCATCGTAGTAAGTCACACACACCCGGTCAAAAAAAGTAACACACACACACTTTTTCAAACAGTTTCTTTCCCTGATGTGTGGTCCTTCTGTTCCTGAATTCATCTGAGCCTTAAAAACTCTTTCCTGCTGGTGATCCCTCTGACGTCTCCAACCCAAAATAGACGTGGATTTAATATGTTGGATGAGCCTCTGTGGTTTTGTCCCTAAGTGCTTTTTTTCCTCTCATAACTTCTTGTTTAATCATTGAAATGTCCTAAAATTATTACTTTTCAATCAATTTGAGCCAAAAATGCAATCCTTTCGGATTCTTCTTCTAGAATATTCTGATGATATAATACAGTTCTTCCTAATAGATTTTACTGGAAGAAATAAGAAAGTTAAAGCTTTTATTTTTTTTCATTTTATATCTTGATAGCACTATGATTTTTCTTTTACTGTATAGTCCTGCTTCATGAGCTCTGCAAAATACTGGGATTCTGTCCGATGTCTAATTGGCAGGATGGTATTTCCTCTGCAAGGCAGGAGTTTCTTGTGAGGGCAAAAGTGGGTTGGGGGCACCTCAAAAGATCCACAGACCCCCTTCCTGCCTTGATATTTGCTGTCACGGAAGTTCCTTCAATTAAACATCCCATTTTAGATCTGCAACTTCAGGAACAAATCCACCTGACAGCTGGAAAAAGGAGGAAAAACAATTCCTGAACCTAAAACTACAACACTGAGTTCCAGGCTGTTTGTTTTTTCATATAAAAAACGTTTTTTAAACCATAATTAATCTGGAGGAGCTGAAGAGATCCACAACCATCTGTCGACCCAACAACTATCAGCACAAACCATTGAATACATAGCTTGCTATGTTGAAATATGGTGATGGCAGAGTCATACTGTGGGGTCCGCAGGGATAGAGTAGCTAGTCACAGTTAAGAGGAAGATGGATGGAGCTAATGAGTGATTATTTCTGACATTTAAGCATTCTTTTCCTCCTCACATTTCTGTCTTTTTTTCAGGTCAATACATTTTCAACAAAAGTTTGTTTTTAATTATAGTAAATGTGACAAACTTCAAATGAAAAGATGATCTAATACATCTCTACATGCAGATGAGCACATTTCACATGAAAAGTAGAACTCAAACAGAAGGGATTTTGCAGTCTCAGTAGGGTTACACATAATTTTTCTTTACACTGTTCTACCCGTTGCAGCTTTGAATCCTGCATCCATCTCTTCATATTCCCTCTGGCTTTGTGGTCTGAGACACATGACTTTGCCTCTTCTATTGACCTAGCTCCAGTGCAACAGCAATTAGACGGAGCAGCACACGGGGAGCTGCCGACGGCCGGAGCTCACACTCCGCCGGCATACAGACATCGCTCCGGGTGAAGGCAAAGAGAGTGTTTTAATTGCGTAATTGTATAATTTGCCTCCGCTGACGCCTGCGAGCACACAGGCAGATTTCATTACAGATCACACTGGGGCTTTTTGAAGGCAGGCTGCGCCAGAGGGCCTGTAGGGACTCAAGGAAAACAGAGCTGGTGGAATGGCGGCTGTGGAGCAGCGTTGCGTGGCCCGGCGTCCGGCTCTCTGCTCTCCTGCCAGGGTAAACAAGGAGGCTGCATAGCTCGGCAGCACAGCGCAGCACAGATTAGGCTCTGTTAACATTCCGCCCTCCAGCACACACAGACACACACTACGTTACTCTACTCAAGCTGTGTGAGTGAGTAGCATGGCCCAATAAAAAATCTCACTTTCACATGTCCTATTCACTGTGTGGGAGATCAAATGATAACTGTATGTTTTACAATTTAAGACAAAAATCAGATGAGATATTTCAAGACTTAAAATAGTAGAAACTCTAAACATGGAGACATCAGTCTTCGAATGTAAAATTTGAACAGTTCCATATTTTAGATGTTACAAAAAAGGGATAAATTTACTTGATTGCAGCTGACATTCAGGCCTGCATGCAATATGCTTCAGGGGAGATAACTAACACAACAAATTATCCTGAAAACCCCATCCATTCATATTTTCTTCTACCAAAGCACGCCAACCAGTCACACCATCAGTAGAGTCCTGTGAATTTACGGACGTTCTTCTGCTCGCCATCAGTGACTCTACGGCTGGCCATGTGGCTCGTCACATGGCTCCTTCCTGCCACAGCCCACTAATTAGCAGTGGCTTAGCGGACATTAAGCTGTGATAGGGGTTTAATGTTTCTGAGCTAATCCCTCTCCTTTTGGCCAGGAAATCGGAGCCTCATATGTCATGAGGTAGACTTACACCCAGAGATTAAGTCTGGCAGTCAGAGGGTATTTACCGGCGTGCAGGATGTCTGCCCAAAGCTGTTGCCTTTGCTGCCACTTATGTCCGTTTGTAAAGAGGTCCCAGCTTTTACTGTGAACTGAGCATGTTATTCAACAAATTCAGGTTTAACACTGAAAGTGTTAAGGTTATCCACTCTGTTAAGCAGCACAGAGACAACAACAGGTGGATTTATACAATGCTGTGATTGAATGAAAGCTAAAGAAGTTATTTTTCTTTGGATCAATCAAAGCAACAAAATTTGACAAAAACTGAAAAAGTTGAAAGACCAAGCTGTTTAATAGCATTTTTATTCTCAGCGTGGTACAAAACAAAACAGAAAACAGCCAAAAGAAAGCACTGAGGCTATTGCTGTGACTCATTGAGATATTTCCATGTTTGTTGTAGGCTGCAGTAAAGCGAGAGAGAGCAAGACTTCAAATAAATCTAATGGGGTTGTTGTATTGTTTATTGAAATGGTCCAAATTATTCTTACAGTGGCTTATTTTTCCCAAATTTTACAACTAAATTTTCCCTCTTTCTCATACAAATATCCTATGTTTTGTCGCTTTAAATTTAAAGATCTGTTTCAAATGATGATTGTGATTAAATGGCAATAGACTTCATCATGCAGTCAGGCTTTTACAGTAGCAGAGATTCTGGCTCAGCATTCAACTTTGATTCAAGAGTGGCGATATTGTTAGGAGGTCTGATGAGCCTGGAAGGTAACTTTGATTTCAGAGCTGCGCTCATCTGCCGCTCTGTCACAAAAGCTGTATGATGTCTTACTTCTGCACTGGGTTGTTTTCAAGCTATAATAAAAAACATCAGAGTAAATATTTCTATTTTGCCCAACAAGAATCTTTAAAATATGAATGATGTCTCTGCTCTCTCTCCTCTTCCTATTTCTCATCTTCCTTTATTTCTCTGCCTTTGTTTCTGATCCTCCGCAGTAATGTAAGCTCTCTTTCCTGAGTCCCTTACACCTGTCTGTGCCTCACCTTCCCGCTGTCTCCCTCCATATGGTACAATAAAGGCAGCGCAGTGTGTTGCCTGTCTGGTCCAGGGCTGTCAGAGAGGAGGAGACGCGTTCCGTCTCTGCAGCCATGCTTGCTGACAGAGAGGAGTGTGTGAAGTCTGCGAAGTGGGCAGAAGCCATCCTTCACTGTTCTTTGTTACCCTACACCTGAACCCATGCTGAATTGCAAATCAGTTAACATCCCAGCAGAGCACTTAGGGGGCCGTTTCTGCTTAAGAGAAAAAAAAATCTTAACCCTGAGCTTTTGATCTGTGCAGCAGAGATATGCATAACGCCAAGCTTATAACACTACACCTCATGACAAAGTAGATAACACAGCTGTTTTCTTCATGTCTTCCAAGAAGAGTTTTGTTGACTGCAGTTACGTTTTGTCCGTGCGAAGGTGGAGAAACTTGGAAGCAAAAGTGGCATGTCAATCAAATATCAAACTTGATTTTGGTCACTTTTAGACCCTCTTTTTAATTAAAAAAATTAAGGACACACTGGAAGGCGTGGTTGAAAAGGCTTCTGTTTGTCAAAGTGTTCGATATGACGATGGAAGGTTTTGTAAGATTATTTTTTTGACCACTTTCTAATCAAAATTGTGACCGGGTTTTGAACTTTTACCATCATATTAAGTTCACTTTCATTTCAATCTTAGTTTTTCAAGATTTCTACTTATTGTGTTTTACATATTTTTGTTGGAAGTAAACAACATTTTTTTCAGACAATCAGGTCAAGAGTGCATTCAAGTAACAAGCCACTTGTTGACATCCACAGACTTTCTTAAAAAAAACATATATATATATATATATATATAAAACTGCTAGAAGGTAAATGCTATCTTCCACAATGAAGACTGATGATGCCCTAAAAGGTCTGAAAAATATCAACATCTATAAATAAATATAAAATTTTTTCCATATGCATGCTTAATGGTCGGACAAGACAAATCTGTATCATATCATACAAACATGTTCAAATCATTCATGGCCAAAAGGCTGTTGCACAAAGCAGATGTAATTTAAAGGCTGTTGTTTTATTGCTTGTTGCTATGATCTGTTTTCTGGCTTGTTGTTTTCAACAGCATATGTAAAATAGTATCAGAGGTAAATTACCTTTGTATTAACTACTTCAATGGCTTAAACTAATCATAGAGTTTTAAGGCCAATTAACCAAGAAGGTCGTTAATGATGCGTTCTTTACCTCAGACATTTAAATTAAGTGGGGAAAAAAGGGTATCATTTTTCTGACAACATGTTACAAAAAAACTGTTTAAATTAAATTAAAGCAGAAAAGTTTAGCTATTTTCTTATGTGAATAGAAGCCTTTTTGGATATATGACAGTCACATGTTCCTACATGTCTTTCCACCTTTTGGGTGTATATCAGTTAAATACGTCCTACCGGCTGGAAGTCTAGCCTAGTGTAGCCTGTATGTGAGTGATCTGATCCATAGGATCATCAATGGAACCTCTAAATCAGCCTTTACATCCAAAACAGTCTCTCGCAGTTTGGTTTATATTGAGATTAAATTGTGAATGCTACAACATCAATTGTATAGTAAGGCTTAGGGTGTATGTAGCTTTTCTATGGATTGAAGAAGGCACAGTCTACTCTCTCAACTTTTCTCAGTCTTTGAGTAGACAGAACAATGTTGGACCTTCCTAGCTCTTTAAAAAGAGCTTAGATTTTATTTATTTTTACTATACTTTACTATACTTTTACTTTTAAAAAGATGAAATTGTCCAGTGAGTTGTTTTCAAACGAAATGTCTTTTTGTTTTACACTTGTATAAACAAAATCTCTAAAGTCTCAAAGTCTCTAATGTCTAATGTCTAAAGATCCTTTAGAGCAGAAAAAAAAATCATTTTCCATTCTCCTGACTCTGCATAGATACAAAATAAAGTGATTTTTTTTTTATCTTAATTGAGGATAAGTCCATACTAAAAAAAAAAAGCAAACAAATATTAAAAATTGTTTAAAATATCTATATTTTCATGAGGAGTAGAAAAGTATTCACCATTTCCATTACCTGCTTCAACTGGATCTTCATCATAGTCTTCATCATCACCGGACGACAGAGAATCTGAAACATGTGAAACACATGAGCTTTAGAAAAACTTGAATCTTTCTACTCTAAGGAGGCCAGGTTCAACCCGGTCTGGAGCTTTAGCTAAAGGTGCATGCGTTTCATTAATCACAGCTATAAAGTCTGCAGCCCAGAATTATGTGTGAATTAAAGATTAAATGGTGTGTAGCAACAAACGAGGTTGTGCAAATGTTCCTACCTACAGATTCAAAGATGCGTGAGTGCACATTACAGCTGGCTGTTCATTGAGAAAGTCCTGAATGAGTCTACGGTCCTGCAGAGCGTGTCAGCTCACAGATATTACAACCTAAACATTCCCATAGACGATAGGAATCAGGGGGTCATTAGAGCTCCTGCGCCAGAGTGTTTGGATCCTCGAACACATGCACACATTCGGTACTTGCTATCGTTGCAGCATACAGTAAGAGTCTGCAAGAAGCTTTGCATGTCAGACTAATTTTTTTGCAGTGCCAGATTTGGTTTAGATTTGCTTTGGCGCTCTCTCTCTCTTTTTTTTTTTTTTTTCTGCCAGCAGCAAGGTAACTATTTTCCGCGTGACCTTGGACTTTTCCAGTTCAGATCCACAGGTCTGGTTAATGAGAACCAGCTGTTACCCCGACAGCCCCGGTGAGCTGAAACTGCTCCTAAAACTCCTGACTAGCAGGTCTTTGTTTCTATCATTCAACACCTGAGCCTAAAGTGTCGTACTACTGCAGTCTACACAGCAGAGAGACGGTGTCCCGAAAAATGCATCCTCAGGAGTAGCGGGGGCAATATTGGAGATATATCTGATGTATCAGGGTGGTAAACTAAAACAAAAGAACTAGGAGTTTTGTTAAAAAAAAACCTTTGTGGTGATCATGTATGGTGTTTGTACAACTAGCCAGCAGCGAGATTTTGTAATTGTAGAAATCAGTTCTTAAGAGATATGAAAAGTAATACTTTTACTCAGTCAAAAATCAGATCACTGCACAAAGTTTGGCCATCATTGTTGTTTTAAAAAAAATCTTTTTGGGAGAATTTTGAAGCAGATTTGATGCATCACAGCTTGCAACTATAATAGAACAAAAGTGAGGTAGGTTTTTTTAAAAGGAAAAAAATGCTTTCAGATGCTAAGATACTCTGAAATACTCGGTAAATGCTCTTTTTTTCTATAAAACGTATATGCCAACATATTTTCCTCACTAATTAGACCTATTATCACCTTGAGCTTGTATGACAATTAAGAGCAACTTCTGGATGAAAGAAAGATAAATCATGTTTATTCTCTCTGATTTTGCTAATTAGCTTATTTGATATTGTTACACATTGACAGGCTTAGAAAATAACATCTAGACATTTAATCCAGATTAAATGTCCACCGCGCAATGGCAGCGCACTGCTCCCCAAGGGCATGAGTTAAATGCAGAGAGTGAATTTTGTTGCTCTGACAGTGTAATGACAATAAAAAAAAAGATGGAACACATACCTAACCTTAACCTAATCTAAACTAAATTCACAACTTGGTCCTAAGACTAAAGTCCCCACAGTGTAGAATATTTCTGGGAAATAGTACCAACTTGTTAACAAAAACATGGCTACTAAAATCTCTCACAAGCCGTACGCTAACCTGCTTTTACCCGAAAATCGCATCCACTTTGGTGCCTAAAAGAACTGCCATAGAAAAAAAAAAATCCATATAGACATGTTGTGGTTGCAACAGCAATGGCGAACAATTCACTCCATAGCAATTTGGATGAGTTTTGTCTGTCTTTACTTATGCCTGGATTAGCTCGAATCATCAAACTTGGATTGGATTATTCTACATAACAATCCTTTTTTAAATAATATTGTTTGAAAATGTTCATTTTATGAACATTTTTCTCAAGTCTCATCGTACTTCCATGAACCCAACACCAAGTATCATCTAATAATACCACTAAACTGGAGGTTTCTTTCACCTCTCTCTTCTAAGCATCTGCAAATATTTGAGGATCAGCACAATGGCTCTCTGTGTATTTCCAGATAGAGCAAAGGTGGATTGTTTAAAGTAGTGGGAGGGAAGCAGTCGGCACTAAAGGGGAAAACAGGATATTGTCGCCTCATGCTGTTAAACGTCAGATTTTTCTGTTGATTCATGCAGGCACACGAGCGTTAAAATTGCACTTCACTAAAGCTTCACTTCACTAACACTTGCAATAAAATTCAATCAAATATGATCCTAATCCCTGAGGCATGCTGTGAGGAGCTGAAAGCAAATGTGCTTATCTGGTTTTATTTGAGAAATTCATTTAAGGGATAAAACATATAATATCTGACAATTTTGCTTAGAAATCAATGATGAGGAAAGCATGACATTATAAAGCAAATATGCTGGACCTAAAGGAGATTTCCAGCTCTGAGTAGTGCAGGAATAGTATGTATGTATCTGAGGAGGTAAGGGGGGTAAACTTGTGCATTTATTGCCACCCCATCTGTTTTCAATGTTGCGATCTTTGAAGCTAATTGCTTTCTAATTACGTGTCAATAGAAGACTCAGCTGGTGTCCTGAGTTTTACGCTAAAGCGCCTCCTGACTTTTAAGCTGCTGCTCGCCTCCTTCTGACCCAACCACCACCACCCACAGTCCCTACCTCACTTCCTCTTCTCCTTGCAGTCTTATTAGCTCCCGGCTTTCACCACAGAGCCCTGATAATGAATTTCACCTTCAACTGTGCATCAGTAGGGGGAGATCTGGCTGAGTGTTCACGGCTGAAAGCCTGTTCCAGTATGAGGTGAAAACACAGCCCATATAACAGAGTGAAGGCATGGTGTGTGGAGAGGAGAAAATCATAAAGGTAACCGCTATAATTGGACAAACTTAGTAAGATTTCAGCAGGACATAAAGAATCCAACTCTGGTTCGCCACTTATCTCTCACCTGTCACCTTGATGGTGTAATTGTTGAGCAGCGCGTTGGTATGGGCCAACCGGCACGTATAGACTCCAGAGTCCTCATACGACACATTGATGATGCGTAAAGTCCGTTGGATGACTCGCGTCCTGTTGCCAGACACCAGTCCGACGCCGTCTTTGAACCAGACAACAGGCTTGGTGGGGTCCTCCGGGTTGCAGGACATCTCCAGAGTCTCCCCTGTGCCCAAGACAAAGTTCTCCAGAAACGCTGCTTCACTGGATACTGAGTCTGAAAATAAAGAAAGAGAAAAATATATATACTTTTTATATATACAAACCAGCAAAGGTTGATTTAAACCACATTGAATGAACCAATACGCATAGCTGTTTACAGTTTCTATATTTTTAAATACTTTCAATTAATTATTTTAAGTATTTATTTAGCAAATTTTTGCTTTGAATAAAATTTATAATTCAGTAACATTGTACATTTACTTTGATACCTGATCTCAGATATTGCTTTCATCAGTAACACCAACCAAGAGCAGAAATTATGGTAAAATCGTGTTCATTAATTTGGTATTTAAGAAAATAGATTTCTTTGTCTGTAGATATGCTTTATCTTTAAATCCTTAAATTACATAATTTTATAGCTTCAGCTTGTTTAAAAGCCGTGAAGTATTCTCTATTTATCACCTTCATTAGATTATTTAATGAACAATACAAAAAAAAAAATCTGCAGATTAATCAACTAGAAAATAATCGTTAGATTTAAACCTAATCCTATTGCTTTTAGCTGGACTTCCCCCCATAGTTTCCTTCACCAATGCAGCCTTAGTTTGCTTGGCCAGTTTTTAACAATCATTGTCTATTTTCTGGTGCAAAGCTCACAGAACTGTATTATAGGCCTGGAAAATTCTTCCGTTGATCTAATAAATCTGGGGTTTTCCACAATAAATGCTTTTTTCACCCTATACAATGATATTTTACGGTTAAAAGGAAAGTATACTGCCTGGTCTGTGTGTGTTTGTGTGTCTGCACCCTGCACTCAGACAGCAAAGGATGAAATAAATCTGCTGAGTGCTGTGCTTATATTCTATAGCTTTTAAAGCCACAAAGGTCTGACCGTTGAATTTCTAGAAGACTGAATTAAATGGGGAGCAATCACGATACAGATATAAAAAAATGAGTTTTTCTTACTCTACTTAAATGCTACTGAGTTTTAAAGCCTCAATTTTGCTGATGTTTCAGGGTCAGACCTGGATTTGGCAAATAAAACAATCTACATTGGTGTGGAGAGTACAGCAAACCTGACTGTGACATAGCTAATATTTACTGGTTTTCATAAATGGCACTTTTCTTTTCTTCTAAATCCAAATTGAGAAAAAAACTTAGTCATGCTATTTTGCTTAAAAACAGGAAAAGCTGCTGTCAAGCCATAAGGCAAAGCACAGCTTTCAGAAGATGACAGATCTGGGCTGAGAGGAAAGCCTCCTCTGCGCAAAACACCAGCTCATTTATTCCTGCATGGAAAAATCAACATGTTTACCAACTTTACTAAGGATGCAGACCAGCCAGGAGGATGGAGGAGAAAGACAAGTCTGGATACGACAATGAGGTTCTTTGTTGATTCATATTAGGTGTCTCTTCTTATTCATATTCCAAAAACACAATACAAGGATTTAGCATAGCCTAAAGGAAACAATTGTACACAAGGACACAAAGGCCACTTGTGAGGCTACTAATGCTTGCATACTTTAAGTACGTCTCCAACCCCTTCTGAAACAAATTACTCAACATGCACCTGTTTACACACAAAACCCAGAGACGGTCCAACCCCCTACCGGAGCTGAATATGTTAAGATTGTGATTTATGTTGGCAAAGACACCAACTACAAAAAAATGACGGGTAAAAACATCCTTCAGCAGCCCTTGTGAAAAAGATGACCCCAAAGCAAAGTCAGAGGACAGGAGAAAAGGTCAAAATAGACAACCACACTGAGAACATTGACTGCATAGCTGCAAAGTGGAAGGAAATTCATTCATAGCATAGAACATTTTTTTTACAAACATAAACACGAAAAGTGTTGCATGCATTTGTGTCCAACGTTTTTTTACCCTGACTTGCATACATAAAATCCACCAATTTCCTATGAAGGCTCCCATAATGATAACTGTTTTTTTGGGGTGTAGTTTAACTAAGATATCCTGATTAGGGCTGAGTTAAAAATGATACATATCTAATTTCCTGTCTAATTTCCAATTACACAGTCATGTGATTCAGATTAACAGCCCAAAATACATGTTTTTATTATCAGCAATCCAATTAGAGATTAGAGTGATCGTATTGGATTGAAAACAATCAATTCTAAATCTTGAGAATCCTAATAAATTCTCGAGATTTAAACCAATACCCAGCCTTAGCCCAAATACAACTTTATTTAACATACAATACTTTCAGAATTGACAAATATCAATACTGACCTGATACATCAGCAAAAAATCATGCTTATATTTAATATTTATCACTTAGTGTTGAATATCAGAAAAGGCTTTATAGAATGATATTCAAACAGAGAACCATAATTAAGAATTAAAATAATTGACCCATGTATGATTAACCACTGGATTAAATACATTTTAAACAGAAGTTGATTGCTTCTATCAGTCATATTAGGTGCAGGCTGATATATTCCGTTATTTGTTTTTTGGCTAATATATCAAACTGATTTCCCATATCAACATCAGATCAGGACATCCCTATTAAACCTAAGCATAAATGCAGGTTTTTCATGAAGACAAAAGAGACAAATAACGGAAGCAGGGCCAAGTCATAAAGGTGTATTTTCCCTTGATATTAGTAGGCAAATAAGACAATTTTCTAAAGAAAAAGGGTGGTTTACATTTAAATAAGTGAAAAAAAAACCCAACTCCAATATCTTATTTTGTGACTGTCTGGATCTTTATCCTCTGACATGGGAGATGGCTTGGAGCTTGTCTGCCTGGCTGTGTGTTTCCTAGACGGGGCCGTGTTTTATAGTTTCTTTTTGTATCTCTGCTTCTGTCTCCTTGAACCCCAGTCAGCCTTGGCAGATGGCCGCTCACACTGAGTCTGGTTCTGCTGGAGGTTTCTTCCTGTTAAAAGGGAATTTTTCCTCTCCACTGTTGCTACAAGCATGCTTAGTGTGAGGGATTGATAAAGAGTCAATGAGTCGATGCAAGCAACTGGTCTTCCTTAGATAGAAATCTTTGAATCAAATTGACTGTATGATCTGGTGAATTGTAAAGTGCCTTGAGTTGACATGTGTTGTGAATTGGTGCTTTATAAATAAACTGAATTGATTTGAATTTTGTGAGCATAATATCTAATTGTCCTATTTATGGCTAAACTCAGTTATTCAATTGCCAGATCATCTTATTAACTTGCTCAAATTAAGGACAAATACAGTTATTTTACATTTTTTTACTCATTTGATCGATTTTTGAAATTTGTAGACAGACAGTTTCGGTATCTAAACGCATCATTGGGACAGAGAGGGAGTGGAAGAGTGGTTGGTTTTCCATGGCACATATTAATACAGTTTTGCAAGTAGAACGAAGTAGCTTCACTTTCCAGAATGCAGCGCAGATTACACTACCTGCAATATTTATGGAGCAAAGTACTAGGGGGTGAAAATACCTCATATCTGAGTAAGCATTTATTTTATCAGGAGTTCATAAAGTCGGTAGTTGGACCCACCAGGGGGGTCGTGAAACACCAATTGAAGTAAATAAATGTCCAATCAAATAAGTAGATGAAACATTTATCCATTTATCTAAAACACAATTCAGTTATTAAACAATATACCAATAAACTATGAAATAACTATTGAATTAAAATGAAGACTTAATTAAATGTCATGAAAATACATTTCAAAATGAATATTATTACTTCACGCTATATTCGTATATTGAAATAACAACGTAATGTTATATTAACGATGTATTTATATGTTGTTATCAGTTTGTATAACTATAATTTATAGGGTCACAAGCTGACATGTTTGGGAACCCCTGAATTAGATGAATAAATAAATGTCACATCTACTTATTTCATAGGAAACTCAAATGTATTTGTCATGATGTATTTTGGCCTTCTGTATATCTCAGGGATTTACTTCACGATGACTGTGAAAAACATCTTGTGACAACGCCCCCGGACCTGGGGTGGGGGTGGGGGGGAACCCCACTCTAAACATGGGAGTCCTGGGTTACAGTAATAGGTAATGCTGCCTAAATGAATGTAGGATAAAAGGCAAATGTCTGTACAGTCTCAAAAATGTTTCTTGAAAATGTTTCAAGGATTCCCAAGAGGTCCTTTTGTCTTTATCCGTGGCAGAGATGTTAAGTAAATAATACACCAACAGGAGCTGCTCAGTGGCCTCTGGATTCGACTACCAGATTTACAGCACTTTTCTTGTTAAAACAAAAAGCTCCATTCAGGAGAAGAAAAAACCCACTAAAGCAGCAGAGCACAGCGCATAAATTCAAACCCAGCATGAATGACTCCCTACCTTTTTGTGTTTGAGAAGGAAACCTGAGAAAATGGACTGTAGAGTATTTTCAGGTCTTAAACATGAAAAAAGCAGCTTTATAAGGTAGATATAAAATTCTCCAGAGAGTCGTTGCTCATATTGGACTTTACAGATTCCTTTCTGAATGGACAGCAGCATTCCTTATATGCAGCACACATTTTCTCTTTAAATGCACAGTTCATTAAGGCTTTATAAAAGATTTCCAAACGCGACAGTTTTACCGGCAGAAAATATTCAATTAGCATTTGTTAACAGCAAGTCGGGAGGGTGCAATGTGTTTGCGGATCTTTTGCTTTGATCTTGGGCAAAATACATAAGAAGAATATTCCTTTTCAACTTTGATGTTTACAGAGCCAGAAGCTGAACAAATGCAATATACAGAGAGAGCAAAGCAGTGCAGAGATGCACAGAGCATGTTCTAAAGAATCCAATTTCTTAGGTGTCACACAGAAACAAAGCAAAGGCCACCTTTCTTGTTCTTCTTCAAGGCTAAATTATCTGCTGCTACTTTGGATTCTGAACTTTGAAATGTGGATTTAAAGCTGCAGTGCATTAAAGTGTCCTCAGCTTGAAGGACCTCACATTTTGTGAATGCACAACTGCTAGGCAGCAGATCCTCAACTTGTGGAGCTTTAGTCCAGACTGTAAAATGGTAGAAATCCTGCAGTTTGAAGTCAGAGGTTTAAAAAAAACTGTTCTATGAATGAGCTAAGGA